GTACTCACTACCGCACATGTGTGTACATATCTATGCATGCTTATATATATATATATATATTTATATATATATATATGTATGTATGTATGTATGTGCGACTTTCAGACAACACAGCAATGCAATTAACCTAAATCAAAATAGACCGTTTGGTTGCGTGTAATTCGGGTAGTTAAACCATGTGAAATCTGAGTCAAATTTTAGCTGACTGGAAACAGTTTATTTTGTCCTACACACTACATAGCCACTAAACTAATTTACTTTACGTCAATGCAGATGCTTATTTAATTCTATAATGTAAAAGAGAGACTGTAAAATACATTATTTTTTCTGCATTCAACAAAATTCAACAAGATTTAATCAACAATTGAGACTCCTTTGAGACAAATACTTAAGCCCTAAACTTTGCAGCGCATAATCAATAAGTGTGTCACTAAAGAGTAGGATTTATCGTCGATTAACGTCTAGTCCAACCAGTTGGGCCAGCCGTTTATGTCCTGCACCTATTAAAAATGGTAAAGAGAGTATTATGAAGATATGCAAAAGTATGTGACGAGCAGAAGGTTTAATCTTTGAACCAAACAGGTATTTTCCTAATCAGCATTGAGTCGACCTAGCCATGTTTGTCTGCTGAAGCAGAAGACATATAATTTTGGAATATAAGTTTTTGTACATCATACGCAGATTAATTTTGTTCATGGGCTTTCCTATTGCCTGAAGCAATATTTTAATATATTTGTTCTCTTATTGAAGAGTATTATTGACGGCTAATGCATAACCTAAGTGGTTACGGCTAAATTTTTATTTAAAAAATTGGTAAAAAGGATATTATGAAGACATGGAAAAATATGTAACTAGCTGAAGTTATCATCTCTAAGCATATGTTCGACTATAAAAACAGCAGACATAATATATTGCATTTAAGTTTGTGTATAAAATTTGCAGATTAATTTTGTTACAGGATTTTCCTAAGACCGATAAAAATCGCTTTCTAATGTTTTTGATTAGAATATTTTCAAGGTTATAGAGCCAGAGGCTCTATTTATATTTTTGTATTGAAAATGAGAATTTTGTCGAGTTATGGCATTAAACTTAGGTTAAGTTAGGTTATGGCACGGAAGAAGAAGCAAAACCATTGCCATAATTGCTTAATTGGAAGATTGTGTGTTGGCTTTTATATAAAGTACGAAAACATTTTAGGGCTATGTAGAAGGACATCTCTCAGTATTACTTGTATTTTTTATGACCTATTTTATGTTCTTTGGAAGTGTTGTCAAATAATAATGGTAAAGCTTGAAGGATAGATTTGAAAAGATAGAATGACGCAAATGGGGAAAACAATAAAAAAAAAATTGTATGGAATAAATAGGTCAGGGTTATTTACGTCTGATTCTAAGGCGTTCCAAAATAATTAAGGCATAACCAAACTAATAATAAAACGTAATAAAATTTAACATGCCTCATAACTAATAAAAAAATCTCTTCTTGACCTTAAAAGAAAGCTCACCAGGCAATAATTAACATATAGTGAACAAATCTAGGTTATTCCATGAGTTTACTTATCGTAAGTCAACTGCAGGCAGAGTTTAATATTTTTACAAAATAAACTAGAAATCAGAAAATAATTATTATTTTTTTACTTTTAAAATGTTTGTTTAACGCAAACAATAAAAATAAAGATATAATATGAGATAATGGGAATCATATGATAAATAATCAATAAACTGTGTATTTTATAATGTAACTGTAATAATAAATAATGAACCAAAGAAATCATTAGATGTTTACTTAACATTTTGCTTTGAAAGACAGTGATTGATGAAACGGGCGGAGAGGAAGAAATGTCAACAAGCTATCGTCTGCTACTTGTGGTTACCAATTGCTGCCTTTTGTATTTTTGGTCTTGCCTTAAGCGAAGTTTCTAGCTGCAATGGCTTTGGCCAATATACATTCAACATCACTTGAAAAAAAAGCTGTTTTACGAAGGCTAATATGAGAAATGAGTCCAACATCTGTGCATTGTACAGGCTTGGGCTTGGGCCTTTGCAGACCGGTTTATGTTGCCGCCCGCGACAAATTTAATAACACTATGCAACAAAAATTACAAACTTTCATATACGTTTTATTTGTATGTACGGGCCGTAATTTCACGCTTTTAATTAGAAATCTTTTTCAAATCCCATCCATCGATGTGGTAAAATTTATTTTGTTGTGCAATAGGAAACATTTCTGGTCTTATAAAAACTGATTACTTATTTTCCATCAGTTATCTTAACGTCTCTTTTAACAGTCGACGCAGTTCTCATAGTTTTATAGATTGTCCTTATGGGCTCTAGCTATACTTATACCCCAACTTTCATCAAGACAGCTTCCAATTTAAGAGAACAATTTCCATCGTAACTGACAGACGATCGTGGCTATCTTAACTAAAGCATTGCTGCCGATCAGTATTTATTATATAAAATATAGAACACAATTTATATCATGTTATTAATAATAAACGAGAGCAAATCAGATTATTTTATTGCTATTTGAAATATTTCTTCTGGCCAAGAAAGTAAGCACCTTAAGAAGTGCCTATCTAGCCGACGAATCTCTGTAACTAAATCTAGGATCAACCAAAATTCCGAAATTTATTAACGCATTTGTTTGAACCCCCTTTTGATATCTTTGTTTCCAGCCAGTGTTAGAATAACAGAAAAGCGTTTCCGAATACGGTTCCACATCGGGCCAAATTTGACTTAAGTGAGTTGGCTTTGTTGGCCAGCAACTGTCTAACTTTACCTTCCCTTGGTATTTGAAATATTATTATTATTATTATTATTGTTGTTGGGATATATATGCACTGCCATTAACCCAAGTTCTTGCTCAAATGCAAGAATCTTAGTCGGGTTAGAGCTCAGAAAATGCATCCCTAAGATACTACATCATCTCTTAGTTAAGGCGACACAATCTGCTGGGATGTGATTTGGCCTGTGCCCTGATTGGTGAGTGATCCATCTGTGTACCACTTATTGGTGTGCGATTTCATGGGGTGAACTGCATCCAGTGTCATCCCTTCCCTACTACTCACATGAACTGTGAAATTCTGCTGGAATATGGATTCAGCAAACATTTCATCCCTATCTAAAATATAAAACTAACTAAAATAAATTTGATGGAAAACGATTTTATAGTTTTCCAAATTTCGCTCCACCAAAAACGATAGGCCAATTTTCAAAACACTTTTGCCACTCCTCGCAAAATATAGCTGTGTGCAGAAACAAAACTATAAGTCGCATCAACAGTTAATTTGACGTTTTATTAGAGGATGATCCGACTTTGGCAAACAAATGGATGTCCAAATGTCCGGATTTTGAGAAAAAAAAAAACATTTGACCGTTCGTTGAGCTGAGTACGTCATCCGCAAACAAGTTTTTTTTTTGGATTTGGGATCTCAGATTGTCGCCAGTTACGAGTATTTCAAAATCTTTTGAAGTTCCGTTGCTGTGTATTGTATCTCGCAATAAGTCCCATGATGAGTTCCAATATCAGTGAGTGCACAAAAACATAGTTTTTTGGTAAAATAAAAGCCGTTTAAGTTCTGAAATTCTGATTATCCGTCAGAATTGTCCGCATCACCAATATATGAAATAGGAAAAGTCGTGTAACAAGTGATTTTGCCTTCGAAGGCATATCATATGATAAACATCTTATCACAGCTATGTGATAACTCCCTTAGGGAAGGGTTTTTAAGTTTTTTTCTTTTCGTTTTCGTGGATACGCTGAGAAAAAATCGCTCTAAATTCAAAACCGGACTGAAAATATAAAGTTTTTCTTATTTTCTTATTTTTAGAAATAATAAAGTATTATGAAAAAATATATAAAAATGATAAGGGTTTTATTGATAATATACGTAACTATGAATAGTTAAAATTTTTGTTTAAACATTTTTTTTGGAAAAATGTTGAATGGAAATTTACTTTCTGAATAATAAGGTGACCAACCATTTAGGGTCATTTCTTTTATGAGTGTATATACCCTTTCTTTCTTGATATACCTTTTCGAAGGTATAATAATTATGTCGTGAAGTTTTTTATATATCATTCATCATTTATACAAAGGAAAAATCCGTCGAAAGATGAGTTCGTGTAGGAAAAACTCGTTTCTTTAACAAGGTATCCAAACCAAGCTTACCAAGTACGCGTGCTTCTGCGCTCCTCAAACTTAGACAAATTTAGATTACTGAGAACGTTCTAACATATCCAATAGTTTATATTTTAACAATCAGTCGAAAGATGATTTATTTTCGCTTACAATTTTATCCTAATTAAACTCATCAGTAATGAGTGCTTTTATGCTCATAATATTAACATAAAAATAATGCACATCAAATGGCTTCTTTTGGATGAATCGGTACAGGAAATACTGTTGTATATTTATGTAGATTACCATACACATATACAAAGTGTTGACGCCTATATTCCTGCATATGATATTTTCCGCTTTATTTGCCCGCTTACGAAATTACAGCTTAAGGCGGATCGGTCAAACGAAGAGAACAGAATAGAACTGGTTCGCAAATGTGCCATCGGCAAAGAGAGCGGTCAACGACGCAAGCGCTTTAAAGAGCGCAACTCCATCAGTGCTATCTACTTAAACATACACATATACATATATGTATAAATATATATTTAAAACCGGCTTTCGGTGAGCGATCAATGAGCGTTTTCTTGACGATGGCGCTCAGCTCAGCTGCATCGGCCGTTTGGTCTTTATGCCCGATTGGCTTCTAGTACCATTTGAACAACGACGGGCAAAACAACAATCAGATCGCGGTCTGGCATCTAAAGCATAACAAAACAGGCTCGGGGCCAGCGGTTGTATTTAATCGGTGCCTGTATTCAATTTATCATTAAACTTGATATTTAAATTCATAAATATATATAAATCACAGTGGCGTGCAGTGTATGAAAGTGTATCGCTCTCTCTCTCGCTCTCTCTCACTCTCTCTCTTGTTATATAACATACCACATGTGACACAACATAAAAAAATATACAAATATTGAAAATATCTAAATGAAAAAGTGCAAAGGCCGTTTAAGCCAAGATAGTGGCAACATATTTCCTTCGACCTTAGAACCCCCACATGGAGTGGTCTAAAGTGATGTGACCGAACCTAATCCGATTTCATCGATTTGTTCCGGTAAATGTGATACTGCCATCTCAGCGGCTTGCAAGATACACATTATTATTGGTAAAGATTTTGTATACATTTTATCTGTAAAATAAGTGGATGGGGCTTCTAGTGTTTATTCGATAAGATTCTGCTTATCATACTATTTTCACTCTAATAAGACTCACCAAAATTAATGGTATTTCGTGATTTCTTTATTTTATTTGAATCATTTAGTAAATTAGGTTGCTGGTTGCCTCTGATTCTTGGCTTAAGTTACAAAGAAAACACGATGATCAGGCAGGTTCTCGGCTTCTCAGGTTCTCGGCTTCTCAGTTTCTTCGGCCCTGGTTTCGATTGCTTGCAATTGGAGCTGTTGTGGAAAATGCAGCATCATGCAGACCCATAAACATCTCGCGCTGTTCCTGCTGGGTTCATTATGAACAATTCCCTCAATTCTTAATTTTCTAAGGCTCTCAATGAGAATTAATCATCTGTTTTCATTTTGAATAGCATTTCTGAAATTACAATACATTTCTGAAATTAAATAAATAAAATGTACGCATAAGTCGCTAGTCCGATCACAAATGAAACAGATTAAATTGGTTGGCTTAAGACAGTCACGTACTTTCTAAAAAAAAAACGTATTCTTAGGAAACTATTTACCTACCAAATTTATTTGGAAATGCTCTTTGGAAAACAACTTAAAATAATGACTTGCTCTGTCGTTATGCAACCGACTATAAAAATTTAATGCGTTTCCAAAATGTTTAGTTGCGGCTTTTAAAGTTTAAAGAACTGGCCCTGTCAAAGCCGTGTGAAGTTTGGGGTTATGCCTGCAATGGGTGGGCGTGGCTTTGCCATTGCAACGGTAGTCTACTGAAAGAGGTAATTATTAATATACCTAATAGGTTTTAGCGGTTTGTGTAGGCAGAAGTGGGCGTGGCATGGAATTTTGTTTACCCATCTTCCAAGCTTGCTAATTGTTGCCCCAACATTGTGACTTTCATTGTTATTGTTGTTGGTAATAAATGCTATCTTTAAATTTTATAAAAAGTCTACATTTTAAAATTGTATTTTTTTCTTTAAATCATGAACATATATTAAATAATTTAACAATATTAAATATGAATGTGTAGACAACCTCCAAATTTAATGACTACAGCGCTAAAACTGTTTAGGTTGCAGACCTTTACTTTAGTGGCCTTGAATTTCATATGCAATCGATTTGCACTTATCGATGTTATAGATTTTCCAGCCCACTTATTTTTTTGTTTACTTTCCCAACCTTTGGAGTCACAGAATAATGAATATTTGATACAAACTAGAAAAACAATATAATTGGTTGTTGCGTCTTCGGAGACACAAAGTAATGATCTCTGGAATGAGGATAAAACGCTTGGAACCTCACTCCATCATAGATTAATTACAATATGTGTATATAATTACAGTGGATATTATACTTTTGTCGTAAAGTGTGCAACTCATTAAAGGCGACGCCTCATTATAAGCCAACTCGATATAGCCATATTCGTCTGTCTGTCGAATTAGTTCGTAAAGCTGAAAGCCACCCAGACACCCACAGAAATTTAATAGTAATCGGCTCGAAGTTCAGTGACCTACATACGTAAAAGAGAATTATATATATTGACAGATACGTATGTATATTTAAATACTGGATCGGATTTTAAACTCCAACCACAGACACCATTACTAAATGGGCGGATGAAGAACTTATCGAGCAAAGCAAATGGCATCAAATTCCAAATATAACTACCACAATTAGTTTCGCATACGTATTTACATACGTAATACGTATGGCAGTGAACGTAAGAGGTAATACGTGAATTCGTGCATTTGATGTATGTTTTATTTGCGTGCATCAAGTTAAGGTAAACAAAAAACCAGTCGAAATCGGCCTTGTCTGACCCACTTTTGGTTGCCGCAGTGGCAAAACTGACAATCTTCCGGCATTTTACAACTTTTTCGGAAAGCCAACAAACTTATTTATATTGCAAGCTTTCGTGTTTAAAAGTTTAAAAATATTTTACTGTGATAACGCATTCAGCGCTGACAGTCCAAAACTCGACCCTGTTTAACTTCTTACTCAACGCTTTCATACCAACCAGTGAGAATGACCGACTAGGAGATGCCCTGCATACTCACATATATAATATATGTTTACATACACAATCTACTTAACTATGAATTTAAATTAGTTAACAGCCAAGTAAACTTTGACGGCAACTTAGTCAATTCTAGTGTGAAATTTGTTGAACTATGGTCAACTGTTGCGTTGACTGACGTTAGTTGACACTCTACAATTTTATATACATATATATATATATATATCAGAAGTTGCAACATTAATTTTAAGCGTTTGCATTGACTGCTGATTTATGATGCGTTAAGCATTAATTGACATTCTAATTGATTGCCTTCTGTGAACAGTTCGCAGCAATTCTCACGCGTTGACAAACTAGACTGAGTTCGTTTTTTGTTCGTATATATATATATATATATATCAGTAGTGCATATATATCACTATTTGCAACATTGATTTTAAATCGAATTAATTTTGTGGTTTGCTTAACAATTTTCAGGTTTTTTCAGCTGGTTCATCTTATAAAAAAAAAAAATTGCTGATTAAATATTTAAATGCAAGCTATTTCCGAGCTGATAACATCAGAACTAATTAATTTAATCACAAATTCGTTGTCAGAGTTTTTGGTCCAACTGTTTTATTCATGTATGTTATCAAGTTAAGAACATTCCTTCTAGACAAATTTATTGAAGAGTCCAAGGTTAGTTTAACATTGTTTTTTAGTTTGGGATAACCCAAACATAAAACGTTGAAAAATAAAAGATAGTTTCCGCATTTTTGGATATCTTTTCCAAATTAGTTTATACGAGAAAATGGCTGTTATCCCCTAAACTATTTACCGGACACCGCAGCAGATAATAATAAATAATAAAAAATGGTATTGCCGCTGACTTAATTTTCGAGAGCGCCTCATTTATAAAATTGGAAACGCCCCAGATGAGCGCAGTCCGGCATTGAATAATGATTGATGCAAGCCTTTAATCAAATTAAATCTTTGTAACAAATTTGTTGTCAAACTCATGATAAGCACAAACTGAACAGGCACAGAGCCGATGGCTGAATTATTAATTAATGGATGCCAGCTATGATGACTTAGAGTCTAAAGCTATTACTGCTGTGTTGGAATGGATTAATAACACTTTATTTTGGTGGAGAAAAAGTATTTGGATTCACGCAATGCTGATAGGCTTTAGAACTTAATTAAAAAACGGTCCAACCACGTTTGTTGCTTAAATCTTCTGTTTTTTCGCGACGCTTCGACGATGCTTAGATACCGATGCATGCAAGTAATGAGAATGTGTTCTTTCATGTGCACCGCAGCATTGTGCAACACTGTTTCGGTTTGTATAAGAGTCGCTTAACTGAAGTTGATCATTACGAACTCGAGTCGCCAAATGAAGAACAATAACTGTGCGAAAGCTCACACAACAAAACACAATCATTTATGTCCAACGCCCACAATGTTGTCGTCGGAAACGCCATAATCATCATCATCATTGTCGCCACTTTGGAAAAATGTTGCGGGCTGGCTCAACATGGTTAACAGCTGTGGTTTTGAAAAGGAGGTAAATTATTACATTATTGAGGAGAGTAATTGCGACAGACAACTCATAAGTGTCGTCTCATTGGTTCCACAACCAAGCCCATGTTCCGCGCTCTCTGCTCCACCAGATCGTCTCGACTGCCGCCTATAATCTTGCTTATACTCATCATTCACACTCTGTTCTACAAGTCGCCTGCTTACCTGAAGTCTTTTGTATGTGTAGTTTTAGTAAGGCCCTTTCTTAATAGGTGTATTTATGTGTTGTCCTACTAATTATATTACAAAATTTTCTAAGGCTTTTATTTATTTCATTTTGAGAAATTTTACGTTACTTATTGATTTTTTATTCTTGTAGTATTTTTTTGCCGTTTGATGTGTTAACTCTTTGTTTTTTTGTGAACCATGTTAAATACATAATTATATAGTTTTTTGTAAGTCCCTTATCCTTGTATTTATACGTTGTCGTATAATATTTTTCCACATTTTCTATAATTTGATTTAATGGAAAACATGCGCTTTTTTTGTTGTTTTTTTTTTTTTTTTTGTTCTCGTTGATGTGGACATTGGATTCACTATCGACAATCTCTGTGTGAAATGCGACTACATTGAATATTTAAATTTACCACACAATATATAAGTAATTGTTGTTTGAACTTTTAAAAAGCCTATATTATTATATATTTAAAAATGGAGCATCAGTAAATACATCAGCTTCCCTGGGCTCAGAGAAAGGCTTAGTCGAGAAATATATTTACTTATGTATATAAAAATGAAAGCAGATGAGCAATTAAATTTCAGAGCTTAAGCTTTATATTGCTTCGTTGTCATTAGTTTATAGATCGATCACTTGGATCTGATATGCCATATTCCTCAGTTTCAATTTATAAGGCTTGGCTTGTCAGATTATGGAATTTTTTGTAATATAACTCATAAATAAGAACGAGGAACTCAAAAGATTCTCTAACACTAAGTAAATTTGCCTATGGATAAGAGCACACATAAATTAAGCCAATTATTTTCATGTTAGCAATAACTTTTATAAGGGGCTTGATACCAATAAAGTCAAGATTCAATTTGAGTGTTTTTTTGAGCGTCGACATCGTTAGTCGTAGACCCCTCCTAACCACCATCAACCATCAGCAGCACCACAGCACAGATCAGTATGGTCAATAACAAACTGCCTGTGAATTTTACAGAGGTTGTCCACAGTTGGCTCTTTGCTCCGGAGACGCGTCGTCATTGCCGCTGGCAGTCCCACGCACGTTTTTAAAACGCTCGTTGATGGTTGGCCCGTCGCTGTTATTGCATTCATTTGTGAGTCTTTTTATTTACATTTTTTTTCTGTGCTTTTCTTTTTTTTTTTTGCTTAATTTTAATGCAAGTCGACGGTGTGGAGCCCATTCCGCATGCCACCTCCGATGCAAAGGAACGAAT